CGCGCCGATACCCAACTGAGGCTGCTGATCTGTGGAGTGAACTCTTGACCCCTGCTGTATTACGTAACCATCGGTCGATCGGAGCGCGGAGCGGAATTTCAAATTGTGGCTTACTTCAATTAATCGCTTACGAAACGTTTCTCGTGACTCTCTGATGCGAGCGGGAGCGGAAGGATCGGAAGACTTGGCGATATAAAGGGACTGCGATCTCTTCCCGGACAAGCCGAACCGACGGAGGAGTACGAATCATGACACGCAAGGAGTTCCATGGGAATCTCGGTGGAACGAGGCGGAGCCGATCGCTGGAGACTCGCTCCGCTCGTCAAATATTTCAATTGACAATACTCGCGCCGAGGGGAGTGTCCTCTGATGAAGGCGAACGACGATCCGGCGTGGGGAGCTTCGTGACGAGACGATGAAACAATCTGGGAGTCGTCGTCGTCACCGTCTCCGGGATTAGCCGCTACACCTGTTGAGCTCAGGCAGCTGTCGAAGCACCAACTTCAGAGTGCAATACCGATTTAGCGGCGAGTTCCTGTCGCCGTTAGCTCTCACTGCTAGAGCCGAAGCTCTTTGAGCGGCCGCCACCACCGCTGCTGATGCTGCTGCCAGTGAAGGGCTCTAAGTCTGAAAGCGTCCGATCCTGGGGATGAACGGAGAGAGCGAGCGCCATGTCGGCGCCATCGGTTTCCTCGCTGTCCGTCGTGTCTTCGCCGAAAACCCTCGTCCCTTGAAGGCGCTGTTTTATTTTACGGTCAGGTTGCTGGCTGGCTTAGCTTTGACTCTGCCGGGCTTCTCGGCTCACCGGTCTCCCTTCTTCTCGCTATCGAGGTACCTGTTCTCGCTAGACGTCGTCTCTCAGTCAGACGTTACTTCCATAGAAAGCGAGATTTGCTGAATCATGCTTTCAGAGAGCGCCAACAGACCGACGGAAGCAAATTGACCAGAAAACAGTTTGTTTATTAGATTCCGATGCTTGTGTTCTCCGCCGCTGGCTCCGTCAGGATGACAATGGGCCAGCACGGTAGAGCTTCACTCACCACGTCCGACTCCTGAGTTCGAAGGAGATAAATTGTATCTCCCGATCCTGATGCTCGGATCGGATCGACGACTTCGCTTGTGGAGACTTGAGTTCAATGTACACTAAAAGGAAAGGCGGAGACCAAGTAACTCTTCCCGAGTCACAGAAATTTCGCTATGCGAAAATGAGACTTTGTCCGATTCACACCGTCTTCCCTCCAGAGTTCTAGCCGCTCGTCAGTCTCTCCGTGATTCGAAGTTTCCCGCGGTTCCTATTTCCGGGATGAACTCCTGTACGAACCCAGAGCGGCCGAGGAGTTTTCTCTCGCGTCTCTCATTCCTTCGAAGGAAGTATCTACGTACATACATACACGTATATAGTCGTTCTCCTAAAGAGTGGGGCTCGGACACGTTCCGGGACGAGATCTCGAATCGCGACCTGAGTTCGTTGCCTCGATGGGACTGGAATCTCCGAGAATCGAGAATTGGCGCAAGCATCGCCGGACCCGTGATATTTTTTTCCCATTTGAGTTTCTGATACGGGGGCGTATCGAGGGCTCAGTGCCGATCAAATCAGCGGCTGGAACTGGATTGGACGGTCGAGGATCATTCCAGCGGCCGAGCAATCTCGATCGCTACGAGGAACATGAAAGGTGAATCGCAGATTGAATCCCTCCCCCTAACGACAGGTAATATGATACATTTGTTTTCATGTGTTTGTCTCAATGCGGTGCTTGCGACATTGATTCGGAACGGTGGACGGAAGATAAACGATCCGAGCTACGCACATCTACGCTCGGCTCCCTTGTATTTGCTAATGGGAGCAAAGTAAACGTAACATTCGAGAGAGAAAGGAGAGGCTCTCGCAGAAACTCTACGCGGATGACGGGACCGCTCGATTGGTTTTGCGCAGAAGCGGAGCTTTTCGCTTTCTCAGCTCCTCCGCCGCCGTATCCCTCGCTGGTCTGTGGCTGTAATTTGTGGTAGGCGAGTCGACGAACGTTCCGGACGCAGACGAACGACTCGAGACACGCGGAGGGAACGGATAAGAAAAATTGTATCGATTAGTCATTTCTGATGAAACCGAATGCTCTCAAGATCTTTCCCTCATCGTCGATCAGCTCCTGACTCGCTGCTCGTGTGCTCCTTACGGCAACCTGCTGCTGATCGCCGTCCGGCTGGCCATCTAACGGCTCCATTAATCAAATGTGGCTCAACAACATTCGGCCACATTTTTGTGTTGATCTCTGCTCAAGCTAATGCGAAGTAAATCTCGATCAATGGATGTGGCTCTCGGTCTATTCACTCGATCGACCACACTCACATCGATCCCTCCATTCATCCATCTGGACATCCATTGGAACATTTATAGATTAATTCTGGGACCGGCCAACTTGTGACCAAGCAATGAAACTGCCATCGCCAATTTTTACACCAAGCTCCCGAGCCACCGTTGGCACCGAGCTTCTCGAGTTTCCCCGAAGCCTCCGCCCCTGGGCCGCAGTCGTTCGATTTCGGAGCTCCAGCGAAGATTCCGTTGGCGACTTGTCAGAGGCATTCCAGGCGCTCTGGACTCCCATATACGCGCGTAGCTGCCGCTGGGATGCGCAATGCTTGAAAAAGACGGAATGCACCGCATACCCAGGCTTTTTGGTCGGGCGTGTGGATCCGAAGCTCAGGGAACTCTTGATTTTTTTCGAGACGCAGGGGAACTTGTGCGGGCGGAATCGAGGAGCCTCGAATTTGCATAGGATTAAAAACTCTGATCGACCTCACTTAAATCCGAGAAATCGCCGGTCGGGGACGCATTAGTTAGCTTGTCGCATCGGGGGAGCGCATCGACGAATTTGAGTCCACTGTTTTCATTAGAGTCAGTTTTCCTGAGCGAGCTGATTTTTGTGCCCAGGCTTTTCTTCTATCTTATTTTCCTGACTGAGGAGAGAATTACAACTCGCGCCATCAGGTTCCGTAAGTTTCATTAAAACGTTTTTGCACAAGGTGCGCCGGGACGGCGGCGGCTCGGGAGAGCGAGTGGGCAGCTGTTCGATCGGTCATGAGCCCTTTGCGAATTCTCTAGAGCGCTCCGAAGTTTTTGCCTCAGTGCCTGATCTCCCTCTATTCTTTCCTCCATCATCCTCGTTCCGTCTTCTCCAGGTGCTCTTTCAAAGTCGCTGTGTTGTCGTCGTAGCGGCTGGCTTGTCGTGCATAGCTTCGCAAGAAGTACGGAAATAGCGCAGGTACTGCAATCAAGCGCTACTTAAGATCCAGGCTCTGTTAGCTAGCTAATCGCCTCGAAGGACTTGATGTATGTAGTACATTATACGCTTGCTCGTAGGACCTTTATTAGAGTAAATTGAGAATGATTCCAGAGCAGGCCCAGAGCTCAAGAGAACTTTCAGAGCGCCATCATCCTTCCCCCGGCTCGTGGCAGAACCGATCGCAGTTGAGCCGATGTCGGGGATTCCTCGCTGTGGAAAATCCGCTAAAAAGGATCGCTACCGATACGCCCGAATGTGCGTAGTGTGCTCCTGTGCGGTGTGCAGAGTAAGCAGTGAGGATCAGTTTTTTTCCCTCGCTCCGCTGCCGGGGCTCCCACCGTAATAGCCCGCATCATTCAACCCGAGTGATCGATGATCCACAGCCGGCTTTTGACGCACGGTGTTCTCGTGGCGGGACTGTCACGTATCTATTGATGAGGGTCATCCGATCGAGCACATACGGCTTATTTACGAAACTTCAGGAAGAAAACAATCGCGAACGAGCAGCAATTCCTCATGCGCTAGTGATGATGTTTTCTGCTTCCTCCTCGGTGGAATGGGGGCCAGGAGCTCTTACTCCCTGAAGTAAGGTCCCGCAATCACGAAGCTCGATTCCACTTAGCTCACACCTCTGGTCTAGACCTCTAGGCGCCGCTTCGACCGCGCGAACGTATTCTCTCAGAACCAGATTCTAACTCCGGAATTCTTTCCGAATTGGGCGGTAGGAGACGCTCTCGTTTAGTTGCTCATGGAAGGAACGGGTAATGAAGCTCTCGATCGCCGAAGACCCGAGCATCTAATTCTTGGCCATCGATCACAACGGCCGTGAGCGATGTCTGCGCAAGGGTTTCATGCAATGAAGTTGTACGGGGTCGTATGCATTTTTTCTGGCGCAGCTCGCTCCGTCGCGTCGCAAGTGGCTATCGTATCGAAACGAGCAGGCGGATGACTGAACGAGCGGTCGGTCGGTCGGTCATGTAAGGGAGGGAGAGAGGCAGGCAGGCGACCTGTCAAGGCCGAGAATACTACGCCTCCGTGACGAGGCAAAAGAGAAACGCCGAAAGGGCAACGAAGAAAGCAAGGGGCGGTGAGTGCATCGATATATCAAAGGCTGGAAATGGAACTCCTTTCAGAGATCCTCCGATAGGAGAGATAGAGGGAGGAAGACGCTGCGTGAGAGATAGCGGCACCGTCGTACAATGGACGCAGTTCTTCGTCCGGGAAAAACGAAGCAAAGCAACGGAAACCGAGGTGCAGCACACGCGGGGAAGATGAGGCGAACGACAAACAAAAAGAAAAACGTGTCGCAATTTTTCAACTCGAGCGGACGCATCCGCCCCGGCCTGATTGATATCCGGACATTCGAGGAGCTTCCAAGCAGAATACTCGGAGGTCCGGCAGTCCGACGGGGAAATTCGCGGAGGGAACAATCATAGACATCATCGAGAATCGACCTTCGGAACCCCCTCTCTAGTCTCTGAGATCTCGGAGCGAAGAGCGTCGCTATGGCGTCACGTAGATTTTCAAGAAGACAGCATCAAGCTGCTGTGGTTTGAGATCGCGATCTACCGACCCAGGTCGGACGTCGATCGCCGGGAGGGTCGCCGCGAGCCATGTCCAATTCAGACGAAGGAGTTCGAGGGTTGTGATGGTGATTTTGGCGGAATTCGAAGGTATTTCATTCCACGGTTCATGCCGCATTCGACATCTCTCGAGGTTTTCTAACCTCTCTCTCTCTCATCGATCGGGGATCGGTGTAGATCAGATCCAAGACCTCTGAGCTGATCGGCTTAATGGAAGCCGACCTTGAGCACATTCTCCTTTATGATCATCGGCGTTCAGGCTGAAGATCATCAAACCCCCAAGACCCTGACGTTTGGCGTAATCCACCTGAGGAATAAAAAGTCAAGGCCAATCTGTATACTGGTTCCTATCGCTGTTTTTTCCCTACCCTCTCAGATATACGAACCTTTTCTTCCACGCTCCGGACGTTATCATAACTAATCCAATTCCCTCTGCCGTCATCCATGTATGGCGCTCTACTCGTTTCGGACCATCTCGTTGTGGCAGATGATGAGTTGGCGAGTCGGCAAATCTGCTTGAAGCCGAGCCGGACATCAGATTTCGATCAGCTGGTCATGGGATGTCCCGGGCTCGATTTTCGCTGGGGGATTATTAGTCTCACCGTGTCATATCCGACATTACTCCCCAACTTCGAGTAACCTCTCACGCCAGCATGCAGTTCCTTCCGCACCTTGTCGATTAATTCGTAGGCAACCCCATAGGTGGGGATTCCTGAAATGTCGAGGGAGGCCTCCGATTATTTTCAATTCTGAATTCTGATGATGCCTCGTGATGTCCTTTTAAGGATTATACCGACGCTCTCAGATATAAATTCTGTCGGGAGCTGGTTTCGGCTTGCAAGCATCGCTCTCATACTCGTACCGAGACAGATCATGCGGCGCGGAATCCCCGCCACGAGCCAGAACTTTGTCGCGAAGTCTACCGTGAAGGCCGCGTACAAGAAGCCTTGTGGGTACAAGGCGTTGTGCAGAGCCGCTCGTTTCGAGATCGGGTTCAGTAAGACCAGGTCGTAGGTCATGAGGTTAAGGAAATCACAATTCCTGTAGGGGAAGGCTCGGATGAATACTCCAATGTCGACTCCTCCTATATACGATTTCTCCGAATCGAGGGAGTTTCCCCTCAGAAAGCGCCTAGAAGTATACCAACCTCAAAAGACTCTCGACGGGGTAGCCGAAACTGAGCGTGAACGGTCCGGGGAGAGCGACCGATAGTTGGAAAGTCTTCCGCATCTTTACACTGAGGTGGTCGAGCAAATATCTAGTCCGTCGCAATAGTCTCGAAAGTTCAAATCCTTGATAAAAGGCCGGGAACTCCCAGTCGTAATCGATACCGTCGAGCCCTGTTCGCTCCATGAGCTCCGAAGTGGATTCCAAGAAACTACGCAGAGCGGGGAGTGACTTTAATGAGCCGAATCAATTACCTGGGCTTTTCTATTCTGGGTCAAGAATGGATAATAATCGTCGGGAGAATTTTTCTTCTCGATTCATGAAAGGTCAAGTACATCTGCAGAAGCTCAAGCCTGGTCGCCATCATCGAAAAACGGTCCTGACCGTCGCCGCCACCCCCGACCGATAGCATCACTCTACGGGTCCCGTTCAGGCGCAGCGCCGGAAGTTCCCTGAGGACAACGCGAAGAGTTCCGATTTCTTCCCGTGTTCGAAAAACTCGGCAAAGCTCATCGATACCTGTTCGCCCCACCTTTGTATTCTGTCAGTTCCACCTAGAACCGTGGTATTGATGCGGAAATCCGAGCCGACAGTAGCGAAGCTGATGAGGATGTGGGTGCATAAATCCCAAGGAATCGCCGATGGAGGCAGTCTTTCGTCTTCTAATCGGTAGTAACATGTCATTTCTGAATACAAAAAATCGCAGATTGGTTTTCGCCGACCGTCATCCGTTTCAGTTCTAATTGAATCCGTCGGGGAGAAAGACTTACTTCTGAGGTTTTTGGGGGTGGGCGGCGATCTGTTCAGCGCACGATTGACGGTGAAGATCGCGAACGCAGTAGAAAGACATATCGCAACCAGTGCTATTGCCAAAAAGTGAGAGATATTCCACCTGCAATTTTTTTCCTCATGATTCCGCCTCCGTATAATCGAATCATCTATCCTCGAATGAATGCGAATCGGACTGAGCAGGAGCTCCTGGTTGCACCACACAGTGTTCGAGGACTCCGTAGCTCACGGGCTGACATGCACAACCAATTGAGGCCTCTAACGATCGAGCAATGGAATTTAGACCCATCGATCGCGTATTCTCTTATGATATGTGCAATACATATTTGGAAACAGGCCGATAGCCTCGGTTGCCATGACTTGAGTGGACGAACGAAATCCGAAATCATCCCGTCGACAGCGACGTGGGGACTTGCTCCTTCCGGCGGCCGGAATCGGACCGGACGAATTATGCCGAGTGACGCTCGAGCGGCGTGCCGTGGGGTGGAACGCATCCGAATTTCGGATGGTCCACCGCCCGACCATCGTCGGCTGTCCCCTTCGCTAGAGCGGTACATATCCACGGGAACACTCATTCTCCTTTCAAAAGGTGTCACGATGTCTCCGAGTAATTGGAGCGTGAAATATTGTGAATCTTCCGGAGATTCTGTAGAGCCCTCGAACGGAGAATCGCCCATAAGGAGCGCGCTCGACGCCTTATCTAGTCGTTGACTGAGCCCTTGGTTCTCGTGGTCGAGTCCTACGGGGCTTCATATTGCCCTTGACAGAGGACCGAAATATGTTATTTTCTCGCCTTGGGAGCTTCCGTCAACATCGTCATTGGGATTAAGCCGGGAGAGGGCATCGCTTACAGCCGATGATATTTGAAACTCTCAAATCTCAATCGCTTGGCCTCGTTATGCCTTCGCGACCAGCGTCAAGGGCGCTTCGAAATTGCAGCATCGGTCCCGCGCCACACTGTAGGAGAGATCACGAATCTTTTCGTCAAGTCACGAGTTTGGCGCGGTATCGTTACGATATTCAAGCAGGATTATCCGGCATCGAACGTATCCACGTTTCGGAGTCCCGGGGAAGTGAATTCCCCGCCTCTCTCGAATACCCTCGAGATGCTAACAGATGAATGTACAGTCCGACCCATGAAACTCTGCGTTAGCGAGTGAATTCTAAATGACTGGACTGGATGAGTCAGGCGTTGGCTCGGCGCCATTGATCAAATTCACCTTGCTCTCCTCTACTCTTTGGTTTCGCTCGCTTGTCGCGTACTGGATGTCCACCGTGGAATCGAGCATCTCATGGCGGACTGCACGAGTACCCACAACCAGCCATTCTTGTCGAAAATTGAAACCACAGTTTTCATCTTCCTTCATAAACCCTCGGCTGAAATGTTCTCAACGCTGACTTGAGCGAAAAAACGGATCGCGGTGACAGATACCTTGAGTACATGGGATAGTTCGGGATCTTCTTCGCTGTTGTCTCTATTGTGTCGTGCAAACACGTCGGTATTCTAAATGGAAACTTCCTGCTCATAGACCGGAAACCGGTGTTCCCCGCTCTGCAGAGGCCTCATACGTCCCGATTGCGATAGCGTATTGAACTCGGGTCTCATCGTTAATCTCACCGAAACGTTTACGATTTGAGAGAAGTGTCTCATATGTAGATGGCCCCGCCGAATAGACTACTTGCTTCTGCGGATGTTGCCCTTCTCCGTTGAGAGGTTCTCCGCGTAGTAAGAAAGGCTGCTGCGATTTACCGATGATTTTCGCATTCCGAACCGTCACAGAACCCAGCTTCGGATACGACGGACCGTCTCGGCTGGTCCCTTCAAACTCGTTATAACTAGGTTCTACTGAAGGCGCTTTTTGAAAGGTCCCCATCCTTCTCCAGCGTGTCGAGAGCTGGAATTTTCTCATCGATCGAGTTTCACTCAACGAGCTCGAGTCGAACATCCTGCTTTCGTGTTGACACCGTAGATCAAACTCGGTCGATTTCCGCGAATTGCATTGTTTACCGGGAGAGCCGCGAGACTCAGAGTGCGTACTGCTCACGTTTCCTCTGAATAAGCTTACCAACGGGATCGTCGCCCGTGCTGGTGTCGTCCGCGCTCTAGCTTTCCACAGCCATCGCATTCCGTCAAGTCTGAACTCATCTCGACGCTTCACCGAGAGAACACTCGTGGAGGATACTAATGCGAGAAAATTAGTTATTGACCTGTCTCGGCTCATTCGATTCTCTCCTGTCGACAAACGCGATGGACTCTCTCGAAAACTTAGAAACGTAACCGCTCGAGGGAACTCTCGCTGTTCGAAGAGGAAAAGTCGCTTAGTCACGGCGACACAGAACACCCTTAGCCTTGTCGGAACCGAACAACGGGAAAACTCGACGCCTGATTCCTGAGCTCAAGCTGTGGACACGATGGAATCTGTTGTAGAGTTATGATAGGACTGGGAGACGGCGGCCACCAGGGAGACCCCGATAGCCACTCCTTCAAGAATGGAATCCAGCCAGAATTAGGGCTTGCCTTGAACACTCACACTTTCACGCTTTCCCTAATCGTGACAAGTGTGTCGCACAGAACGTTTGGGAAACAATTCTTAGAGAAGACTCCTGTCGTGGGAGGGGGGAAGCTCGCCAGAGCCCCCATCATATCCGAGTTCTTATAGATTTCCCCCGAGCAATGTCGACGAAGTTCGAGAGATCCTGCAGCGCGTTATCATCAAATGAAGCGGAAATCCCTGCGATGCTCCCCCCGCCCCGAGATCATCGTCTCTAATAGTATACGCATTCGATCGCGAAGAGCCAAATTCAGGACCGGAGTTTCTATACGGGATACGTTCATCCAAAAATAAATTTGCCCCATCGGTTTTCCGGCATCCGTCAAATTCGAACGTGTCCAATGATGAGCGGAAAGTTATTTCTCATTGGTCATCGTTCATCGTCGTCATCGTAACCATAACGCGACTAGGTTGGCGTCGTCGATCTCATCCCACAAGCTCATGATACGTTTCTCCCGTAATGGGGAAAGCGGTAGGCGGACTTTGTCGTTCATGAGCCCTAAACGGAAAGTCTAAGGTGTTTTCAAATCTGTAGATGTTTCAGCGCGGATGAGACGCTCTGGATGCAAGTGTTATTCTCAGCGCAGAGGCCTCTGAGACAGAACAGCCCTCGGGACATGGCTCCCGAAGAAATTCAGCGAGAAACTCTTTCTCCCGCACCCTGTTTATCAATGAGAGCGATTCACGTACACATACGGCAGCGATCGGTAATGACGGGTTATACTACTTTCGGAGAGCGCGTTCCCCCTATCTCGCAGAGTTCGGGGAAATGCAAGTGAAAACGATTGCCTTCAGTTCAATGTTGGGTCTTTGTTTCGCCGTCTAGGAAGACGGTTACGCAGTTAAGCGAGCCTCGAATCCAGTACGAGGTGGTTGGTGCTGTTGAGAATGAAATCACCGTAAATATTGGAGAATCACCGGAAGAACCATAGAACATCTAGGTATCCCTTTCCCTCATGGCTTCTGTCAGCGGACTGTCCTCCCGCGCAGCACGAGCATCACATATCAAGAATTTCCTGCGGAGAGCTGCGGACGAACGTCTCCCGACCTCGGACTGCGCGGGCTTCGGCTCAGAATAGCTTCGAGTGCCGCCGAGGATGACTTGTCTGCATACACCTGCGGATTCGACCTCTGCAATTCTGCTCAAGTCGTCCCATGTGCTCTCAGTGTAATGCCTGCTCATGGGCAAAGATACTGATCACCCTAGGCTCCTAGGTGAAATCCTCCCATACCCCTCAAGATGTGCATCTCATAAACCTCATACATCTGGGATCTGGGCTATCCCAGAACCGCGATGCGAGAATGTCCGTACCGCGGGGGTTCCGGAGGCGATGCCTGAGAAGCAAAGACAGATACTCCAGCCAAATCATTTATTCACAGAGTCGAAACCGTCGATGTCTGCTCGAGGGAGATCGAATGCATGCTGTGATTCTGACACCGCATGCTCGGAGATCTGGTAAGGAGTCGTTCGTCGCTGACCCTCAATGATGACTTCGCTGGGAGTGCGCCTCTAGAGTTTGCTGTCAACGGAAGGGTCGAAGCTGATGAATGAGATCGCGGTGTCCGGAGTGCCGGGCGAGCTGGGCGTGCTCGGGGAAGTCGACGACAGGATCGTCGTTGTCCTCGTGAGATTCTTCTTCGCTGTATTCAGAAGATGTCCACTGATTTTCCGTAGCTGGTTTCTTATGGCTTCCGAATAGAAACAGTAGACGTAGAAGTTGCAGGCCGTGTTCAGATGGATCATGACGAGACTCAGGGCTTTAAAAACAGCGAAGCCCAACGTGTTCGGTTCCTGTCGGTAATACAGCTGTCTGAATGCAATCGGTACGAGACAGATTACGAAAATCGTTGTGATGGTCAGGATGAGTTTTTTGAGTCGGTCCTCGGCGGTCTCTTGTCGAAGGGGCCCTAGGTGGAGATTCGCGGACCTCTCACTCTGGTGTCTGGTCAAGCCTACAACGATGCTGATGTTCACTGTTGCGACGATCATCACTGGGATGATTTTCGAGAAGACAGCCAATAAAATCCGGTAGAAGGTGATGAGCGTGTTATTCGAGAAACGCCGTCGCTGGCACACGTAGCACAGCGTGGTCATTGTGGAGCGCTCCCCGAGGTCGAAAACGACTGCCTCAACTCTCCTCCGGTAAGTATTCGGTCCGAAGACAACGAGCGCAGAGACGAAGCACAAGAGCACTTTCAACCTCGGCCGCGAATTGTTCTCCTTTGCGCGAGTCTCAATGGGATAGCAGACAGCGCGAAAGCGATCGACTGTCAGGACAACCACAATAAAATTACTACAAGTGAGTGATATACCGGCACCTGCTGGGACCATGTGGCACTGCAAGAAAGCCATCAGAGAGTTCGTCGGTGCGATGGAGAAGCTGAGAGAGAACAGCGAGTCAAAAATCATCGTCCCCAAATCCGACACCGCAAGCCAGAACAGATAGAAAAACGTCCGGCCGGTGAAACTCCGTAGCACAATGAGGTTGATCGCATTGCCGACGAATCCGAGGACCGCGATTGTCGGCAGAAGTATGTGGAATTCGATGGACCGCACCCAATCGATAGCGGGGGATACATTCCTGCTTCTCGGTCCCATGAAGAAATGAGAGCAGATGCCGTCGGCTATCTGTTTGGAGCCTCTAATTACAGTGGGAACCACCGTTACATTTTCCGATTGGGTGTTGTCCGTGAAGTTACTGGCCCAATCATCGAAGAAGGCCGAAATATTGTCTGCGTTCATCGCTACCAGCTTGCCTTCAACGTGGACAAGGATCTCATTCGCTGTGGATCAACGAAATCACACGAGCCTCGAACAGCTTCGGAGTAATCCAAGTATTATAGAGGAGTCTGGATCTCAAGCAAAGGGCTTCCCCGGTAGGTTCAACGGATTCTCCATCCGAAGACATAAACATTGTCAGGACACAGATGTTCTCCCGGGAAGTTTTCTGGAACATACACGGTCGAAGCTGCCGGGGAACTTCACTGATCACGGCTGCTGTGCCTCTGGCTGAAATTTCTGCGCATCGTCGCCGGGTTATTCCCGAGCGGAGAGCGTTGGGGGAAAGGAAAGATTTATTTTCTCCAGAAACTTAATGTCGCCCAACGACTTCTCACCTTGTTCGCTCTGCATAGAATTTTCAAAACTGCCTGAATGTTTGGATTTTTCCGTCTTCGATGAGATTGGAATCGGATGATTCACATCTTTCCTCGATCCTTTTGAGCAGATGCCTTCCAGATGACGCGGAGCTGACGAAGTCGCCGCTTCGGGTCTGAGCGGGATTCTCTTGATGTCTCCTAGGCTGCTGAGCACCGGAAGCGAATCACATTGAACTTTGTCGGGAGAAAAATTCGTGTATCTCTTGCCATGGCTCCGATCGTTGCATGGCTTCACCGATCGCCGATCGACAAATATTGTCATCATGCTGTTAGACTGTGTTCAGTCGATGAAATCTTCATCGCGAGCATACCAAAAACTCTCAAAAAGCACCCGCTAGGGGAAATTCGCGACCTTCGCGACTCGGATGCCTGGATCCCCTCCCTAAAGGAGTCCGTTCATTGGAGACCGCCCGTCGATGAAGACCACCCTTCAAAGCCCTTCTATTAGAATATTTACGGTATACGGTGTTTTGCCCCCAATAGCGCCGAAATATTCTCAAGGCGAGGACTCGAGTCAACTCCTCACGTTCATCGGGAGTTGACGGATCTGTTTGCAAGAAGAAAATTCCCATCTGCTCACAGGGGGAGTGGATCTGAATTCCACAGCCCCCAGATAGATTCCTCAACAAGGAAACCTTTCACGAGGGAGCGCAGTAGATCTCAGGAGATTACAGCAGTGAATAACCGCTCTTACTGGGATAATGATCGGTATCCGATAAGCGTGCGCACCAGCTGCAGCTCCGAGCGAACCGATGTTTGCGTGAATAATGTCCACCTGCGTATTCCAAGGCTGAGAATGGTCGTTACGATCCCCGCATTCTCCCGCTGGGTGAGGTAGAGTTGTGAGTTTCCGGATATTCACCATATGATGGGCTGAGATTCGTGTTCCGCGAGACAATCGGATGCAAGGGCGCTCGCTTGCGAAGAAGAACTCCCGGAATCTTCAAGCCGTCTGTACCTACTGGTCGCTCCGGGATGTTCTCAACTCGCAGGAGGGTTCTCGTTAGTGGCCAGGAGCTCCGGCACATTCGGATCGGCTTCCCTCCCCCTGGTAAGGCGCACAAACGAGCTGAATCGCCAGATTTCTCGAATTAATTACAGCCTGTCGCATAAGTTAGAGGGACGCTGGATACTCGGGACGATGTTCGAACAACCGGAAGACCACGACGCGACGCCTCAAAGCTCACGAAAGAAGAAAAAAAAGGGAAGTCCTATAGGAGAGTTTGTTCTCTCCCGTCGTTCCATTATCTTCTTCGACGTCTGCTTGTCGCAGCGCGCTCATTGTTATCCAGTGAGTTGGCAGCTTCATGACTGTCTCCCGTCAATGCGAAGAGACACATCGGAAACTCTCTTCGGATGTTCCCGTAGGAGAAATATCACATAGGCTGAGGAAAATCTCTATAGTGTCTCGCTAGAGTCAGCCCGTCTACCCCTCATGCTCCCTCCCACGAAGTTCTGATCGATATCTGACCTATTCTCAACATAAACCGGAAAGCGAGCTGGTTCTCACTAGGGAAGGCCAACGCCCCGACCACTTATCCACTGGTCGGCCGGATTTAATATTGCGAACTATTTTTCTAAGCTTTGATTTGGTCGAAAATCTCGGGAGCTCGAAATCGCTGCTGTCAAGTGAATAGCACGTGTCACATTTAGCCCAGCGACGCGGGATCTGAGCATCAGATGTTCTCTCCGCCAAGTTCCGAGAAATTCCCCGCAACTCGCTCGGATGCGCTGAATAAATTCTGGCATTTATTGCAGAGTACGGCTCTCTTATTTTGACTAGGTACAAGTGATCGATGAGACATACTATCATACCGGAAAAAACGCCTCACCAGCAGTAATGAGGATAGGTAGACAAGAGAGGATCTCTGTGGAAGCCAGTGGTCCACCCAGGTGAGATTCCTGTAACTTGCTCGGAGCTGACGGCACCTCGAAGCGCGTCATCATTTCCTGCCCATTACATCCGGCGGTCTTTCCTCCGACAGCTGCCGGAAGGTTATTTGGCCTTCCTGTGGTCTTCCTCACCGTCGTAGCTGTCTTGTCGTCTGAGCGCTAGCAGTAGTGGTGGCGGCTGCGGCTACAGCAGTGGATACCTTCAGCAACTACCTACATAGGCGGGCGAGCGAAATCGACCCACATAGAAGCTAGCATGCCGCCGCGTGGTGCAAACAAACTGCGTTTGTGATTTATGTGTCGGAGGTGCTAGCTGTGATGGCGGTGAATCTTCCGCAGCGAAGGCGGTCGGCCTGCTCACGTCAACTGTTTACTCCGGCGAGCTCATTCTCTCTGTCGCGGGGAAAATACCTGCTCAGTTCCCCTTTCCCCGCTCGGTGTCGTGAGCTGAATGAAGCCCATAGACACGTCAATCGTTGAGAATATCGTGATCATCCGCTCGTGAGGGCATGCGGATGAGTCCAAACTCTCGCACCGAGATCCGCATTCGGTGGGACCCGAGGGAACAATTCATGGCTTCCGCTCGGGTGAGCCTCCGAGGAGGATGTCGTCACCTCGCCGCATGCTTCGTTGACGGGTGAACATACGACCGCAGAGCGATGAGATGGAGGTGAATTCCACGCCTTTCTTGATTCATAGCCAGTCGCATCGCATGTCACCCACGACTTAAGCGAGTCAGTCCGCCATCCGCTCACTCACTTCCGCGAAACAATGTTGTTGCACCCGCGATCCCGAAACCTCTTAGGATGCCTCTCCTCTGAGGAATTCATTCCCCTCCTGCGAGCGAGGCAGCCATGTACTATATGATGATGTCGAGAGTCCCGACCATGGGCGCCTCGAGTATGTACATCCAAGGGCGAGCAGTCGATGCTTGGAACAGGCCGTCGAATCACTCCGTATGGAGCCCATTCGCTGCTATGCAACTCTTCCTCGATGAGGTGATTCTCTCCCTCAATATGCATGCCCACGAGGGATTCCCTGCTTTTCTAAGCGATTCCTTAGTGCTTCTCGGAAACTCGCCCAAGGTCACCTTCGTAGACGAGAGATCGTCACGCAGCGGGATATCGCAATGTAGACGCCAATTGTTGAGCAATCGGAATTATATCCCGGGTTGAATTATTTTGGAATTCCTTTATTCCAGTACGAGTTTCCCCCAGGACTGCCTTTGAATGGAAGGCGAGGCAGCTCCTGGTGCGACTCATTACAGAGTCGCGGGAGAGTGACCTCGAATCGGGATTTATATCTCCGATTTTCCGACTGCCTCGGAGCCGCTCTCTCGAATTCGACTCTTCTGAATGAGAGGGTGGTGGCAGATGGTTTTCGGCCCTGTCAAAAGCTTCTGCTCATTCTTCTCTGCGGAATTCTCGTCTCTTTCTCAAACTGTGCCCATTTATCCATTCGCGAATTCAAGGCGGAGTTACCGACAAGAACCCTCAAGCCGCTCAGCCGGCGAGCAAGCCGAGCAAACATCAAGACTCTCTGAACCAGTGGGGTAGAGCTGGCAAACAGGCAAAGTGTCTCCGACCGAAGTACTGGATGGTTGGGCATTTCTTTTTCCGCCTCTCTTCCACTTCGTCGGTAGCAGCTTTCGACAGCTGCAGAATACATCGCAGCAGCTCCCCAGCTAGGAAATGTCTCTTGTTCTGTTTCTGCTCATTTCGACTTCCTTCTCTCGGAAACGAAGAGAATACTGCTTCAGCCTGCCGTTTTTCCGCTTTGAAAAAGTTTCCCCTTCCTTTCCATGTCTCTGACGTGCTCGTAAATACCTACTGTTTCGGCAGCGAACAACAAGTGAACGGAGAAAGGAACACATACTGATGCCCATCCTCCCTTCCGCCCAATCCGTTCCCCCTGGATGTCGTTTTAGGAAGCTTTGCACTGCCTCGATGCCTCACTGGATTAAAAGATGCTCCCGTGCCGGCAGAGGGGCGTTTTCCAGTCGGAAGCGTTAGGAAGGAAGAAGAATCACTCCTATTGACTGCCAGTGCATTACGGAGGAATCCCTCCCTCCGCCACACTCTTCGATGATCATAAAGGGCCTTCGGCGGACCTGTCGCACGGGTAACCCACAAAAAGTTTGCCACTGATAGAAACTCCTTCAGAGTTATGAGATCTTTGAGCGCATTCCGGCCCTCCTGCGTCGAAGTCATGGGAAGAAGTTTCGACGTTGCGTAGCCGAGCGAAACCACAGTAGATATCAGTTTCCCAAATGAGACCGTTCGAGTGTGAAGACTACAGAACGACGTTGGTTTTCCAAACATGAAGGATGAGGCGCCGGCCCACGGCGACATCGGATAGAATATGAGGAAAGAACACGAACACACAGGGTGCAGCCCCCTTAACATTCCCCAGCAGCGAACCAGCTCCGCGCCGAGCGAGCCGCCGCACGGGCATTGCTGCGTCGTCGCACTCGTAACACAACGATCAACCTCAAGCCGCGAACCTCGGAGAATTCGAATCCGAGGATATGATTACGCCTTAAGGGAAGAGCTCGGTAGGAACTGGAGCCGGATCTTTTTTGGGTCCGACGGAAATCTTCCAGGTTTTAGGCCAGGATGTGTACGCCACTCTTCAAGCCGGAAGGCAAGCTGTGGGCTGCTGCTCCCCTCGACGGGCTCGTTGACGTCTGCC